CCATCCTCCCACGGCACTACCAAGTAGATGTTGCTGCAGCTTTTTCAACAACAGCAGCAGCTATATCATCTCCTTCGTCTTTTATAGCTAGACCAAAGGAGAAGACAAATGGACCCAAGAGGGCAGCAATCAGAAACTCAGGAGCTTTTGTGAAATGACTTGTATTACATTTTTTCCTAAACAAGAAGTGCTGCAATAGTTACCTAACACAAGAAGATGAAGCTAGAGTGCGGAAATAGTAACAGTCCTGGCTGTTAACTTGAAAACGACAGAGATCTGTGTGTGTAACGTACTCCCCGGCCATGCAAGCTCAAGGCAGATGTTAGAAGCATGAAAAGGGTATTTGCTGTGCTGCACAGCTTGCTAAAAGTGTCAGTCATTCATATTGCAGAATTTTAAGAAAAATTTGGCCTTTTCCACAGTTGAAAGGGGGAATGACCAACAGCAAGGGGGAAAGGGAGAAGGACCAATTAACAGCATCAGCGTTTCTCCTCTTATTTTAAGATGCCTTGCTGTTACAGGTAATAAGCGCTTTTATATTTGGTTTGTAGAATGCAATGGCAAAGTGACTGTGAGCATGCTTTTTGAGAAAGAAAGGCAGTCATGGGCATTAACTACAAGGTGTAGTGAGCTACACGATTCTTGTTTCAAATGACAACCACCTACCTATTCTGTTCAGCATAATTGTAAAAACAGGAGAAGGATCGTCACTAAAAGCACAGAGACAAATAAAGACTTGTTATGGGAGTTCTCAGCAGCTCACAAAATACCCTTGTAAACAACAGCCCCAAGGAGTATTTTATGAAGGATTCCTTTTGAATCTACTTTGATGGAAAGTCATGTGTCTGGTTTGGACTGACTTTTACGGTCTGTCAGGCTGAGCTGATTTTTTGTACTGCAAGGCACTGGTTTTGTACCCTCTTCTGTATGAATTTTAAATAAAGCAACATATGTCAAACTGGACAGATTATGCCTTTCTGTTCCTCAGAGGTGGGTTTTTTTTTTTTTTTGCATAGTTTTGTGAATTTTGAACTTTGTCTTTTGGGATATGTATGGCTAACTTTATTGCCAAGGTCCACGGGGTGTTCACCTGTGAAAAACGTGTTCCGTTAACCCTTTTTAGGAATGCAAAAAAACTCAAATACAACTCACTGACAGATGATGAATCTAGCCACAAGTGGGTTTATCGTCTTTGAATTCAAGTGACAACTTGAACTTTGACAAAAGCGCTGAGAGGAGAACAGTATTTTAATTCTCTGTTGTTCATAAGTTTGCAAAATTTGGGAGCTTTTGGCTCACTTAGGAAGGTCTGACACTCACAGTGACGACCCTTTTTTCTTGTGGCTTCCTGGAAATGCTGGGAATTGATATAGTTCAATACTGGGCCGCAGGTGACAAAGGAGGTCAGGCCGCACAGAAAGCTTCCTATTTCCACCACGCCAAAAGATACAACAGAGGACTGTCTTGTAAACTGCTGTTTCCAGCAGAACATGTTTCCTAGGCCGTAGTACCAAAAAAGCAGTGAAATTTCAGAATGCAGCAGCACGGGAGCCAAAAGGAAAGCAGGACCACGCTTTGGGGAGCGCATTCTCCAGGGATTATGTTAGTTCATCAGCTCCATCAATTACCTCCATATCTTTATAACCATTTCTTTAGCCAAGTTCTATTTCATTACTGCTAGCCCTGCTGCACCGCCAAATATTCCTATGCTAATCCTTTACTTACCACAACTTTTACTTCTTTGCCTCTGTGTTTCCTGTGTTCTTTTCCTTCTCTTGTCTGCAAAACCCTCTCCTTAGACAGATTTCTTTCTGCTCAGAAACATGAAAACTTCTCCCAAGTTTATGCTCCTTTCCAGATATGGGGCACTTCTGTCTCACTCTCTGTCCTTTTAGGATGCAATTCCCAAGGCTCTTTCCAATTTCCCAAGGACTCTTTCCACCTCTCCTTGTGCTCGCTTTAGGATTACAATGGATAGAAACCTACAGTGCCACAGAAACTATTATCAGTAAGAGCTGATTGCACAGAGCATACTCAGTTGCTGATCAGTTTTTTCAGATCAGAAATAGATCCCTGAAAGGTGAGAAGCTGGAAGAGGCTTCTCTGAAGTCCTGCTAGCGGTTGCAGCCAGTTCTAACACAAAAGAACATACCCTTCCTCTGCATAATATAACCAAAGAAGAAAATATTTATTTAAGTAGGCTAAAGAATATCCCTTAAGATTCACTTTGCCATAAGTTAACTGAATGGTCCCTCTTTCAAATTTGCAAGTGTTTTTACGGGCAACAAATCAGGGAGTCAAGAAGACAGCAGAGTGGACTTTTAATGTTCCAAAAACTACTAGAGCAGGTTTCCCCTCACACTTTGGTTCCCTCTTTGGACTAACGTTATCTGTGCTGTTGCTATGTTGCAAATAACATTAGGTATTTTGTCAGGGTTTGTGTGTTGTATACCACTGTGTACAGTGTACTGCCAAGGTATAATTTGCATTTTCATCCACTATGTTTTTTTTGGGAGAATGAAGAACATGTTGACAAAATTGTATTTATGTAAAAATCATTACTCCGATTTATATGGATAAAAATGTCTTGCTAAAGTTCTGTTGGGAAATAACACCTTGATGAGATCTGTACTGATGAATCAAATTAATTTCCTGCATCATCAAACTGCAGTATGCACACAACTACAGATTCTCCAATTTCCATACGCACATCTTGATGAAAGAGGGTTTGTTGTTGTTGTTGTTTTTAATCTGAAACTATCAGCAACCTATGACAAGCAGGGTAGAGGGGAGTAAGCAATGGAAGGGAACAACTCATGAAGGGACAGGAAGACACCCAGATAAGAAATCGTGCTGTTGAGGCCCAGTCAGGGCAACTCAGAGTCCTAAAAGGAGACATGGGTGAATGATGCATATTTCAGCAAGCAATAATGAATTATTTTTCATAAAAGTTAATGTTTACAATTTCTTTTCCAGCGTAACTGGCAGCATGCATATTCTTTTGGATAGGGCACCAGGGTTCACGGGTTGGGTGTCCAAGTTAAAGAAATCATAGTTTAAGGACTTCCAAAATTTTGCCAAAGCTTCTCAAAGTTGGCTACGGTACTGCTAGCAATCCTTTGTATTTATACGCTGTGTAAATCTTCTTCATTTTCAATGTTGGTAAAGAACCCTGTTGTGACCTGGGCAGTCACCACTATAAGTGATGCTCTAAATGTATCATGGTTTCTGTATTTGGATAACAAGAGGGAAGAAAATCCAGAGACTCAGCATGGATCTGGCTGAAAGTAAGCAAAAGGATAGCACAGAGCTAGTCACAAAAGGTTGGCTGGTGTAGTAAGTTGTTTCACAGAGTAAGTGAACACAAAGAGACAAATCTAGATGCAAACCAGCATCTAAACTTGGAAACAACATTCAATCAGCATGACTTGCACAGTACAGATTGCATGAGAAAACAGATGGACCATCAAGGCACAGCACGCAAATTAGTACGGGAAGATGGCTAGATGGCCAGCAACATACTAGAAAGAGGAGGCATGAGTGTTACAGCATAACTCTAGTGTTAAACTATTTCTTTTTCCAATAAGAATAAACACTAAACAAGAGTTCTAAATATACTGACATGAATTGCATCAGGTGAATACACCTTTTTGTTCTCATGCAAACAGTTCTGCAAATAACTTTCTTTTTTTTAAAATAAAGATAAGCATGTACATTCTCACAGCATTTGTTACTGTTCATTTTGCACAAATGCTCAATATGTTTAGCTTTTATTACTATTATTTCCCAAATTAAAATAAAGCACACTACCCGGAATATAGTCCTGGTTTAGCAGAACTAAGTTCCATGCTGCCATAGCCAGATTTATCAAAATCAAGTGATTTGTCTAAACCCCTTTAGGGATGTCTAAGCCACTTCAGTTACAACAGTTTCTACACAGACACTCCCTAAACACTCAACTTAAAATCCTACAAATATAAAGGAGTGCTTTTGGTTTTATTTCACATCTTCCTTTACAGAAAGGGGAATAATTCTGAATATAACTAAATAATCTTCAGTAAGTATAAAACCTGGATTATGTTGGCATTTTTCCACATTTTCTACAGTAATTACACTAAGGGAGAAAATATTGTGAACTGTCTTATAGAAGTAAAAATAATCTAGCAGGTGA